AACCCGTCCAGAAGACCTATACATTTTTTTTCTTTTTGATTTTTTTCATGGATTACTGAGATGCATCYGGACATCTTGTTTTTAATCACACAACTTACACACTGTTTAATAAAACCCTGCCAGGTCACCATGATTAGTCAGCACAAATAACGTTAGCTTAAATATACCTCCTCCTTGTACATCTGTAACCTGACAGATTATCACAGATTTAGGTAACCAAAGTGAACGTAAACAAATATCTGTTGTTAACTCCGGACGTGTTCGGTACATGCAGCAGCTGTTTTTGTTCCGGTGAGGATGTGAAGCGCATTGTTGTCTTTTCCGTTTAGTCAAATGTTCCCATGCTTTTTATAATTTGTTGTTTTCTGAGKTCTTTGTTTCGGCACACTTRGTCTTCTTCTAAAGRTAAATATAYCGCTMAGCAAGCATACACACGTCAACAGTGTAACTGTTAGCGGAAGCGCTAACATCGTAGCATTGTGTAACACAAAAAACYTTCCGGGCGGACGAAAGTGTGCTGATTAGAACAATACGTATTTTTTATGAAGCTTTGAGGCAGATAATTTGCCTCGAGGATTTTTTGTAATCGAATTACTCGAGGAATCGTTTCAGCCCTACATATGATTGGTCCACGTGTCTCCCGCAGGCCTTCAGATGGACCACGCCTCTCTGCTGAAGCAGTTTGAACATCTGGATCCACACAATCAAAACACTTTTGAGGCTAAAGACCTGGAGCTGCTGATTTCCACGGTACAATCCTGCAGCAGAGAAGAAACGTGACCTGAGCTCTCATTTCTTCACTTCAGGGCCTCAAAGAGTTTAAATTCAGCAACTCTTGTGTCGCCTGCTGTTTGGTTAGGCCACCAAGGACCTGGAGAACTACGACGCCGAGCGGCACGAGGAGTTCAAGCGCTACGAGATGCTGAAGGAGCACGAGAGGCGGGAGTACCTGAAGGGTCTGGACCAGGAGAAGAGGGAGAGGGAGGAGAAGAGGATGCAGGAGATGAAGGAGAAGCACAGCCAGCACCCGAAAGTTAACGCCCCAGTAAGTGACGTGTGCCTCTGTGTTAATGTTTTTATTACAAACTTAAAGTGATAATTTCTATTTCTTATTTTGACTCCTCTGAAATTCAGGGTAGTGTCAATCAGCTGAGGGAGGTTTGGGAGGAGACGGATGGGTTGGACCCCCAAGAGTTCAACCCTAAAACTTTCTTCAAGCTGCACGGTGAGTGAGGACGCTCTGCTTTTAGTTATTTTATACCGATGAGTTTTTATTTATTTTTTTGAGAAAAGCTTTTTTTCTTTGCTTCACACAGATACAAACGAAGATGGAGTTTTAGATGAGCAGGAATTAGAAGCACTTTTCACAAAAGAGGTATGCATGTTTTAATAATCTCAGACAACATCACGATTGGTTGTATTAAAAGAGCCGTTCTTCACCAGCTGGAGAAAGTCTACGACCCAAAGAACGAGGAGGATGACATGATGGAGATGGAGGAGGAAAGGCTGAGGATGAGAGAGCACGTCATGAAAAACGTGGGTCTGGTTTATCTGCTGCGCTCGTGAACATTTTCCTCACTTCTGCTTGACCGATGCAGATTTGCCGCTTGTGTTTAAAAGGTGGACACAAACAAAGACCGGCTCGTCAGCCTGSAGGAATTCCTCAAATCCACAGAGAAGAAGGAGTTCAATAATCCCAAAGACTGGGAGGTAAAGGATTAATTGATTGGAGAAATTCCAGAACGGGTCGATCTTGTGACGCTTTAATGAACAGAGATGGTTTAAAACACAAATTGTCCAAATCGGATCTGTAGTTTGATGAAATGATTTTCTTTAGTAGTAGTAGTATCCTTTATTTAACCAGGAAAATAAATCATTGACATTAAAGACCAGGGGTCGGATTTATAAAACTGGCGTACGCACAATTTGAGCCCAGAAACTTGCGTATGCCACTTTTTACACCAAGGTTGTGATTTATAAAATCCAAACTTGATGTGAAAATGTGCGGTGCCTCACGCCAGCTCTGACCCATGCGCACACTCATTTTGGAGACGTGAAACTGCGACACGGTGAAGTGAGGAATTAGAGCCACACTGTGTAATGATCACTGTCAGATATTTAATTTACCTTCAGAATCAGACTTAGATTTTTATTCATCTTTATCATCAGCTTTCTTAACAGTAATTTTTATGCTTCTGCTGCTGAGCCACGAGGACCTTTGAAATAATAATAAAAAAAACTTAAATCTTAAATAAAAGTTCCCGTGCGCAAATCCCTTCATCTGCTTCCTCCTCAGACGACCCTGATCCACAGACCTCTCCCTGACCCACAGACCCCTCCCTGACCCACAGACCCCTCCCCGATAAGAACAGCAGGACAGCAAAAGCTTTGGAAACACGCGCAGGGCGCATCCACCTCGCCAGTGTGAATGTTAAACCTTCACGTTTAAAGTCCATGTTTGTCGCGCGGGGGTGGGGGGGTCTGCCACGGATAACAGAGCAGGCATGAGGGGGAGAGGACGAYGAGAAGAGCGGTGGACTTARTTRTAYTTTTATCTGACTTARTTAATTWAATTTTTATTGTTTTTATCGTCCTGCAGGCTCTGATGGAAAATTAGTTTGAAGCTGAGTTTTTTTTATAAAAATCATTAGATTACTCTAAGGCAAAATGAGGGAAAATCTGTGTCAATTACAGACAATCTGTTCACGTGAGCAGCTGTCAGTCAGCACCTGTCATCCTCCAGACACACGACGGAGTGTGTCTGAGCCAATCACTTTTGTTGGCATTGATCAGCTGACTGATTTAAATACATCTTAACATTCATGAGGTACTTTGCATTGACTGTTTATGGTTGAGTGTGGGCGTGTGGAGGGTAGAACCTGAGGCGGGACCTCGTGCGCAAACTCTGAGGTGTGGCTGTGATTTATAAAGGAAAGGTGCGCAGAAACGTGCGTACGTACGGTTTTATAAATCAGAATCTTTTTTGGCGTACGCCATTTCCGCCTTTTGGCCGTACGTTCACTTTTAGTATGGTTTCCACGCAATCCTTTATAAATGAGACCCCTGGCCTAGACAGCAGCATAAAAATATACAACAAATCCAAATTACAAGACAAGATACACAAAACTAATAGACACCACAGAACTAAACATGAGAGCATTTACCAAGTGATCTGAGGTCTACGACGGAGTATTAGGGCCACACAACGAAAAATTTTAATTTTTTTTTTAAATTACGAGAATAAAGTCATAATAAAAAAGCATGCTTATCACTGCATTAAAATGAGGAATGTTGAGCAACTTTCTTTAGTATTGCTTAAAAATAAACAGTTAATCTTGTAGCACATTAGCATCAAATTATCGGTAGCAGGACCTGGAAATTGTGCAAATGATTATATAATAAACTGAAGCTGTAATTAATGGATGCATTGACAGATTTAGTCATCACATAGCGAATTTGGATGAAATCATATTATCTAACAGTGATCCAGGTCATCATGGACTACTTTATAAACACACACATGGCTGTACAGCAGGTGTGAGGAAAATAAGCAGGAAATGAGGAACGGAAAATGGACACGTCATGTAAGATTATGAATTTATTCTCGTATTACAACCTCGTAATAATAATAATAATAATAAATCTCGTTGTGTGGCCCTAATACTCATCTTTAAAATTGATTTTAATCGCCCCAAGGTACAGAGAGATGATAACTTTAAATCCCTCTGCGTGTTATTCCAAGTGGCAGGAGCAGAAAATCTAAAAGCCTTTTTATCAAGTTCACTTCTAACCTTTGGGACCTGCGTCATAATGATGTCCTGAGAGCACAGACCATAATGGCTGCAGGTTCTAAACAGAAATGAGCATAAATATGCAGGAAGATGCCCAAAAATGCATTTATAGATAAAAATCAGCCAGTGGGAGAGTCTGCGATCAGTCAAAGATGGACTAATAGTTTGTCTGAAACGTGGAGCACAGTGATAAACGGCATCAAAGTTTTTCCATCGCTGGGCTGAAGAGTTCATGAATAGCAGATCTCTATCATCCATCGGGGAGAAGAGCTGAGGTAACCACGTGTCTTGATAGATTCTCGTCAATCAGAATTCTTAAATATTTTTAGCACCTGACAACCCCCTGAACAGGTAACAAGCTGAAGAGGAGAGGTGGGAGCTGCTTACTAGAAAGTAGCACAGCCTTTGACTTATCTGCATTCAAAACAAGCTTAAGCTGTAGCTTTATGGCCATAAATTCTCCTTTAATAAGATTTACTTTTGACATCTTATCAAACATGCAGAGTAGGGCTGCACCTAARGATTATTTAGAATAATCTGTGCCGCACAAATGCAGAGCTATCCAGTTTAGTATCTGTTACAATTTCAACAATCGAAATTAAACAGGAATGATTTAAATCGTTTCAGTGCCTGTTTAGCTGGTGTATTTACTACGTGTTCCTGGTGTTTCCCAGACGCTGGATGCCAAACCGGCGTACACTGAGGAGGAGCTCCAGCGCTTTGAGGCGGAGCTCAGAGACAAAGAGGAAGAGCTGAAGAGGAAGGCGGAAACTCTTCGTCAGGAGCAGGAGCTGCTGAGAGAGAGGGGCAAAGCCTTGGAGGCCCAGAAAAGAGAGTACCAGCAGGTGATMATCCCTAAAAAAGAAAGCGGAGAACGAGTCAGAAATATCCAAATTCAACCTTTTTATTTTCTTCTAAATCTAGGCCGTGTTAGAAATGTCGCAGAGGCAGGAAGTGGACCGGCAGCCTCCTGCAGGTCCCAACGGACAACTCCAGTTTCAGCCACAGACAAACAAACCTGAAGGTAAATTCTCTGAAGAGGAACCAGTTCAGCAAAGCYGTTGAAGCAGTTTTCATCAACGTCCTCCTCTCTGTCTTACAGAAGTCAAAGCTCCAGCAGAAGTCCAGAACAACCTGCCAGCAGAACCTCCACAAAACCTGCCCGTTCACACTTAAAGCGCCGTCTTCTCACAGCATCAACATAAAGCCTCATTCATTTAATGACTTGTTTCTGAAAAGTGTGACGTATATTTAACTTCAGACAAACCCACTTCTTCATCCGGACATCCTGTGCTGTGTGTTCATCTCAGTGGTCTATATTAGATTAAAGATAAAAAAACACACGAGCTGTTAGTGCATGCATGTTCACGTACCTTCAGTTTCTGTGAAGCTTTTTATTCATGCAGAGTCCTCGGTGTGAAATCACAAATAAAGTTTTCATTTAAAACCACCAAATCAGGCWTTCTGGGCTCATTTGATTAAAAACTCAACCAACTTGGAGCTCATTCTCCAACGTTTTGCTCATTTTCTCTGTGATGAAGAAGGATTCAGGTGATCACATATCACTGCATCCCATCTCTACTTATTGTTAACATAAATTATTTTTGCAGCTGCTGTAGTTAAGCTTCTGAAGATGACTTGATAGAAAAAGAAATAAACTAAAAAGGATTTGCAGGAATTGGACAAATCTGTAAAAAAGAATTTATTGCTCCAATATTTTTTTTTATTGCAGCTATAAAGTCTTATTGCCAATATTTACATCACTAGTATGGTAGACCGTGTTTTTTTCACACGCTTTTTATATGATGCCAAGAATTGTAGATTTTAATTTAAACATATTTACCATTACTGGAAACTCCATTACACCCACCAGTTGCTGCCAGTTGTTTTTTTTTTATTGCACACTTTGCAAATGTTTTAGTTTTTGATACCTAAATATTTCATAAACTGATTTTATTAAAACTTGCAGAAAATAACCACTGATTGTGCGTCTGCAACTGATAATCACAACTAACCAACAGACAAAACAAAAATGTCTTTAACCTTGTATACAGTAAAGTATCTCAAAGTGATACTTGAGTAAAAGTACAATTACCATGCTACAAAATTACTTTGGTAAAAGTTAGTCTTCTCTAAGAATATTGCTTGAGTAAATGTCTTAATGTATCTGATATTTTTTGTACTTGAGTATCAAAAGTAAATTTCTGACATAAAATGTACTTAAGTAGTTAAAGTAAAAGTATTGAGTAAAAGTGAGCGGTTAGATTTTTCAAAATTGGGAAGTGAACTCCACAAAAAAATTTTTTTTTCTAAAGGCCAAAATGTTTAAAGGGCCAATATTACATGTTTCACAGGCATATATTTAAATACTACATCATAGTAAAGTATCTATGTCACCTTTAGTTGTTATTAAAATGCTGTTTTTATGTTTAAATACAAAATAAACTTATCTTCTCATCACTTGAGCTAAAATCTGGTGAGGTAGTAGCTGAGAGTCATCCGAAACACTCTGATAGTGACGTTTGCTCAAGAGTTGTCTAATGAGCAAACACACATTTTAGACATGAAAGCTTGATCAGAGTAAGAAAAGAAGTGGGGAGAGGAGARGGCAGTTCTTGGAGCGGGGTCAAAGATTAAATTTCCACCCTGCAGCATTCCCTCGGTGGTYCGTAACCGAGACACGATGGTGCAAGTGAAGTGACCTACAAACAAACCCGACTGGACCCGCAGATCAACACCACGCAGCTCACCTCTGCCTCCTCCTCGCAGGTCCTGAAGGGAAGGACGGCTCTCTGGGGGGTTTGTTGCGATGAGGTGAGCCGGGGCAGAGACCGCTGCAGACGGAGGACCGGGTCGACACCTGGAGGTGGAGGAACAGCAGGAAGGGTCATGGTCAACCTGGGGAGGTGGGACTAGCTGGAAGAACACAGGTGTGAGGTGGGCTTTGACTGCATGGACTGAGATGATCTGATTTAGAGTTTAGAGTGGATTACTTCCTGTTATTTTTTTATTTTCTAAAATTTTAGATGAAAGGGAAGTTTATTAGACTTTTAACTTGATCCTATCTTCACCTGTGAAGACATCTTTCTCTACACTGACTTTAAAGTTCACGTGACATCAATTTTTTTGCAATAAATATGAATGCTTTTTTTGGAAAGACAACATTGATAACATATTGCAAAAATAATTTACACTGCTGAGATGAACAGTTGTTGAGATATTTGCATGTGAAGCAACAGGAAGTGATGTCAAAGGGGAATGTCTGAATGTAAACAAAGCATTGTTACAAGGCTAACAACAGACTGTAGAGAAGAATCTGATGTTTCTTTAGATTATTTTGAATCACTATCAAAGAGATGGAGTCAGAGTTCAAATAATGTTTTAATTTAAAAAAAAACAGTTTCATTTCTTAAAGATTCTCCTTTGATGTCACTTCCTGTTTCACTTTGGCTGAGCCAAATCCTGAAGAAAATCTGCCAGTTATGTGACAAAATGGGTAAAATCATGAGTATTATGCTAAGTTTCTTAAACATTAAGACGATTGCTTTGACTGTTCATTAGGAATGCATAGGTATGAAAATTTTAGCCGATATCGATATCCGATATAATTATTGCTGTTATGGTCGATAACTGATATTGACCGATATTACACAAACACACAAATTATTTATATACATAAACACACAAATACATTTCTTAACAAGTCTTTTTAAGATACCATAAAAAAAACAACCAGACTGCTGAAATGGCTCTACTTCAGTTATTCCTGGCTGRGCAGCATCAGTATCACTATCATGATCAAACAGATACCACTCYACCAACCATCTCCCCTCCCAAAACAAAAACACAAAGCTTAAAAGTGGGAAATCAATATCGGGCATTAATATCAGCCCAGTTTTACTCATCGGACCGATACGATATTCTAAAAAATGACTGATATCGGTCGATARKGATGTCACTGAAGATATATCGTGCATCCCTACTTTTTGTCTTTCAGTGAGATGCACAGGCACTTTAAAGTTCCTGTGACATCAAATTTTCATAATAAATACAGTATGAATGCATTTTTGGAAAGATAACACTGATAACATATTGCAAAAAAAATAATGCGGCTGAGATGAACAGTTGTTGAGGTATTTGCCTGTGAAGTAACAGGAAGTGATGTCAAAGGGGAATGTCTGAATGTGAAAACCAGACTGTAAAGAAGAATTTGACGATTCTTTAGGTTATTTTAATTACTATCATAAAGAGATGAGCAAGAATCCGAGTTCAAATAATATTGTTTCAATAAACAAAAACCAGAGTTTTCTTTCTGGAAGAGTTCCTCTTTGATGTCATTTCCTGTTTCACTTTGTCAGAGCCAAGTTCAAAAAKAATCTGCCAGTTATGTGACATAATGGCTAAAATCATGCGCGCTACACCAAGTTTCTTAAATATAAAGATGTTTTCTTAGACTTTCTGTATTTCATGGATATGTGTTGCGACTATCAGAAGAAATATCCAGACTACATGAACCATAATCAAGTCCAAATAAATTCTTTTCATCTGTCAGTTCTTTAGTTGTGAAGTAACTAAATTTAATTGTTTTTCCCCTCCAGCATAAAAACATTATCTAGAAAACTATCTGAGTCTGAGAGATGGATAATCAAGACAAGGAGGGAGGCCCAGARGGAGGAGAGGAGGCCAGCGATGAACAGAAGCAAAGTAAAGACAAACAGAACAAGTTGGAGAAGGAAAGCAGCGAGAAGGAGGCGAGGAACGAGGTCCGCAGGGAGAACCGGCGCCCCTTGAGGAGTGGCTGGGCTCTGAGCGAGCGCCTCGRCATCAACGTTTCCGGGATGCGGTACGAGACCCAGCTCCGCACCCTCGCTCAGTTCCCCGACTCCCTGCTGGGCGACCCTCGCCGCCGCCTGCGGTACTACGACCCCCTGCGCAATGAACTGTTCTTGGACAGGAACCGCATCTGCTTCGACGCCATCCTCTACTTCTACCAGTCGGGCGGCAGGCTGCGGAGGCCCGCCAACATCCCCCTGGACATGTTCCTGGAGGAGCTGCACTTCTACGAGCTCGGAGAGGAGACCATCGACCGCTTCAAGGAGGACGAAGGCTTCCCCAAGGAGGAGGAGAGACCCTTACCCCCCAAAAAGTGGCAACAGCAAATATGGATGCTGTTCGAGTATCCGGAGTCGTCCAGCGGGGCGAGGATCATCGCCATCATCAGRGTCATGGTCATCGTCCTCTCCATCCTCATCTTCTGCTTAGAGACTCTGCCAGAGTTCAGACACGAGAAGGAGCGACGGGAGGTGAGGAGGAGGAGGAGGCTTTATCAGTGCAAGTTTGTGTGAAGAATGAAAAACAAGAGGTTAGAAAGATAAAGAGATGAGAAGAAAACAAGGTGCCTTAACTCCTCTTCTGCTTTACAGAGAGGGTAAAACCACAAAAAGATCAAAAGAAGATGAGGAAACAGCAGAGAGAGAAAGCAATAASAGCAAGTTATTCCTGGGATTATTTTAGACTAGTCATTAAATCTGATCCACTCAGACTGAAGGCAAGGAATGGAGAGGCTGAGGAGAGCCGTTAAAGGGATAGTTCAGTGTTTTGAAATGAGATAGACATCAGTCGGAGGGATCACGGCTTGGACAATTATTAGCCATGTTTCCATCCAATTTTAATTCGAATTTTGAGCAAATTTTTTAAGTTTCGCAAAAAGGAAAAAATGAAGAAATGCAAATCAGATGTGTTTCTATCAACTGGCTTGAAGCGAATCAATTAACTCAGAGGCATGTGTGTAGTAAACAGGAAGTAAAAGTCGCAAACTCGCAGGGTCCACACAGGACCATGGAAAGAAGTTATCAGGAACGTGTTGCTACTATCAGGAAAGTTGTAATTATTCTGTCATTTCAACTAGTTCTGGTGATGTTACTGCTGTCTGGAGACGTAGAGAAAAGAAATGCAATTCTCTTCACGTTACGGGAATAACTGAGAATATGCCGACAGCAGGAGGAGGTCGAGCTAACGCCATTTTTACTAAGAGTGATGTCATCAAGGAAAACACAACAAGTGAATGTTTACTAGACAGATATACACAAACAAGAATCTGTGTCACTTTCAGATTTCAGCCTTTTACTACAGTCACTGTTAGCGAATTTACACTGTTAGCTTGCCTTTTTCGAACGATAAAAAACAGAAAAAAAGGTTTTGTTTAAACACTAGCTGTGCTGCTACAGAAAGTTAGAAACCAGCAGTTTAAAACTCCCATGAGACCCAAAGCAAGGCAATGACCCTTCCCTCGTGAGAATTTCTCCTCGATTCTTGAAACGGAACTCACTCCGACAGCCGTCTACTGCAGGGAGGATACTGACTGCTCATAACCGCTTCTTACAACCCCACGTGACTCCCTCTTTACAGCAGAAAAAGCATCTAGGTCTCTCCCGAAARGCAATGTTTAAATTTAGGTTATTATTCGTACTATAAATCAAAAGTGAGGAGTTTAACGGACACCCACCGCGTGGATGATACTTTAAAAATAGTGAGACCAGTGAGAGTGAATGAAAGGATAGAAGAAGAGAAGCACGAGTGAATGCAAAGAATGAGCGTCTGTCTCACGTTACGGCTCGGAGATGTACAGAGCTATTTATAGGAGGACCCTTAGAGTGCATCAACACATAAACTAATGTCCATATTAATAAAGTCTGTGTCAGCTTTTCTGATGAAGGCTGCAGGATGAAATTAGCCGATGCGTGCTGGTGTAGCCCAGAGACAAGACAGATTTCTGGGGTTGAAGAAGCAGAAACGATCCGAGCCAGCACATGAATTTATTCTTCCTTCTCCTGTAAAAAATTAAAAAAAAAACATGCTGTATGTGATCAGAGGTTTGGACACCATCCAACCCCACAGGTTCTGATTAAATGCACCAGATGGAAATAAATAAATAGATTTTCTTAGATCCAGCAGGTCGCARGCTGTTGCTTTTTATTTGATCCAAAACAGAGCAGAATATAAGTCAGCTCTGATTTAGATCAGTTCAAGATGTGAGTCTGCATTAATGTGTTGCACTTATAAATTTGTCAAACCTCTGGATTTCACATAAAGCAACGTGCACTGTACGAGGAGAGCAAACTTATCGGTGCAGAGAAACATAAAAGCAWGAAGCTCAGTTTGCACTTTATTGGCTCGATCCAGCTGAAGCTAATTTAATCCGAACGCATCAAACCTGTAATGAATACTCCTTTCATGTACGCTGCAGTGRACACAGAGGGATGTTTTCTCAGCTGTAGGGTAGATTTGAAAACACAAATCAGCCGAATCTGAGGCAAATCACAAAAACAACAATCTGAATAAATGTGCAATACGGCGTGACAAGACTAGAAGTTACACGACCACCAACTAAATCAACAACTCTGCCTGAACTGGAGCTTTTTATCCACCAGCATTGAGGAGAAAATTCCCTGCAAAGCYTTCAGACTCTTGTAGTAACTTCATCTATCTTGTTAAAAGGCACTAATGTTATCTCAGATGCAGATAAAAACAAACGGCCGTGTTAAACGAAGTYCCAGATGCCTGTAACACAAGCCGGAGTCACATGAACGTGAGGTTTATTTGTGAGTTTAAATATAGAGAAAGTGATTTATATTAAAGTCTGATGGGGAAAAAAATTAAAGKTGGGGGAGTGAAAAAGGAGAGGAGAGAAAAAGTTAACACGGTATCACAGATGTCACAGTTTCCTGAGGACAGATGTCGGGCTGCAGACGTGTTTTCTCTGCTGTAAACATCGTCTCCATGGAGATATTTTAAATRGGTACAACTTTTCTGTCGCCTCGTTTTGTTTTTCAACTCATGTTTCAGAAATAAGAAGCTCAAATGACCAAAATAAATTGTGAATGCAGAAAGTTGAATGACTTTCCTAAAAATAGCTTGATAATGATCATTTTAACTAGTTAAAATGAGGAGAAGCTAAAATCATCAAGATAATATCCAAAAACTAAACTGTAACTAATTAAAATTAGCATAATCATAGCTAAAAGCTAAGAATAGCAAGACAGCAAATGCAAGTTAAATTCAGCAAAACAGTGGCTAAAGCAGTGGTTCTCAATTCCAGTCCCCATGACCCACTATCCTGCATGTTTTAGTTGTTTCCCTGCTCTTCAGCGGGTCTTTAAGTTCTGCAGAAGCCTGTCAATCACTTGTTCATTTAAATCAGGTGTGCCAAAGCAGYGAAACAYCTYAAACATGCAGGATAGTGGGTCYCAAGGACCGGAAATCATAGCAAAACATTAAAATGAGAACAAGCTAAATAAAACTTAAAAGTAGTTTGGCTTATTTATTTCAATCATGAATTGAAATGAGTACAAAACAGCAAGTCATCCAATATTAAAAAA